ATTTTGTCACTCTTCAATGTCAAGCTGAGCATTGACATAATCTACAGTGGTGGGGCAACTGATGTTTTCACAGATGCATTTCAGTTACAAGAATGTAACTTGTCAGATGGAAGAGTAAAAGTTTAGGCTTGAGCTTTATAAACTAAAACCTAACCATACTTTGTCCACAGTTCTCATTAAATCAAGGGAGGGAAAATAATCCCTATTGTGCTGCACTTTTTCAAACCCTTCTTTGTGGATTCTCTTAATTTCATAAACCTGCAACGATATTCAAGTTCAGTTTTTTAATTGAGAAAGATTGTCTGGGTTCTGCTGCATTAATGTGTGCCGGCCCATGTACCTGGATTTTCTTAATCAATATTCTGGGTTTGTTTTAACAGTTCAAATATGTCTGCATGTGCACAGAAAAATCCCTCCATCCTTTGACATTGTAACAAAGCTTCCTTTCTGGCAATAAAGACTGCAGATCGCTTTATGTCACCTCACAGCAGACATTCTGAAACTCTTTAACAAAAAAAACCATGCTGATCCAAGTTTTCAATTTGGATCATCGCTTTGCATTTTGTAAATATTAAGATGGTTTTAAAGCAGGATTGCTACATAAGTTTGAGCCAATTTTCGATAAACTACCATAAAGGCCTTAGATTAAGCAGTCCACTTTTAGTCTTGTAGCTACATTAAGATTTTTGTAAATGCAACAATTGAAACTACAGTTAAAGGCTTTTTTATTCCTCCAACTTGTGTTGCTGTGTAAAATTAGAGGTACCTGGATTTATAAGTTCTGGTATTGACCACAACCAGATTTACAGATCACAACTGAGCCTAAAAGAGAAAAAGCCGAGATTACTAGCCAACTGCCTAAACATAAGGTTTAACAATAAACAGCAAGTCACAAATTAGATTCAGGCATAACCTTTTGCCATCTTTATTAAAAGAGTTCATATGGTATTCAGTGGATTGTTGCCTTCAAGATTCAGTGGCCATCTTGGAAAGGATCACTTCACCACTGGAAACCAGGACTCTCTGGCTGGAGGGCACCTTCTCCACTGCTGCTCTTCCTGCAAAAAGCATTAAGAGTCCTCTTCAAAATATGCTGGTTTCAGCTTCCAACACTTTATGATCAATGCATTTATAATTTAGAGTTTATTAAAGTAGTTTCTTGCTCAATTCCCTACTAATTAAAATTGATCAAATCAAGCATTGCTTGTGCATTCTCAGGTTTGAATTTCATTAACCCAATTTCCCCATCTCATCCAGCTCTAAAATATACTTACGTTGCCTGTGGCATTGTTGCACACAAGAGTTAGCACTGCTTGGATAGCACACTGCTGTTGAACAGTGGATAAACACCTGAGAAGGAGCACAAAAGTCAAAAAATTGATAAGCAGCAAGGGTCTTTTTAAAAATTTAAGAAATCATGTGTACCGTATCTTTCTGAGGAGTATAGGTCTCTGGAGCCACAAAGGTAAACATCCTGCTAACAAAACGTTTGTAATGAGAGGGATACTCCAGCCCAGAAAAGGTATCCACAGGAATCACTGTGGTCTGGTATCGGTCGTCTTGATAGGGACAACTGCATACAAGGAAACATTTAAGTGCAGAAAAAGTTAAATTTGAAACAAAAATACATGACAGTTAACCCCACAAACAGTTTCATACCCATCAACCAGAAGGTCCCACTGTGGTAAGCCCTCAGGGTTGGGTGTTGAAGTGGCCCAGCAGTGTTCCAGGTTCAGAAAGATGTTTGGGTCAGATCTCCCCAGAATACGGACCTCAACATAGACTGGTTCTTTCAACACTTTAGTGACTGGATAGTCAGATGGGTTGTAGAAGGAGCTGTATGCTGCCACCTCTGCAATCATACCAGTTTAATAAGTTTAACTGTTTTTTTTAAAGGCACAGCCAAATTTGATGATACATACCCTCATTACAGCCTTTAGAAAAACACTGTCCATTGCCCAGTCTGAGCTCCACCCTTAGGGGTCCTGCTGCAGCAACAGAAACTGGTGGCGGAACAGGGTTTACCTCCATGACAAGAGCCTCTACAGATGTGCCAGTATACCGACACTGGAACAGTAATCTGCAGGGAGAAAATACTTCAGTTCTTTGTAACTGTTGGAATCCTTGATTCCAGAAACTTTCACATTGAAAAGGGTCATAATGGAGGTCATGTACAATTTAGGTTCATTTCCTAAACATGCAATATTGACATTGCTATTTAGGCAAGTGAATGTTTAATCTGAATAATGTTTTGTAGTCGAGGTAAACCAGTCTTGCGGTTGTGCCCCTCCAATTAACAGGAGCAGGGAGGTTTGTTCTACATCATTAGATTTGCAAATGCTTTGTTCCAGATTGCAGTTTAATGGCAAGGAAAGCAAAGTCAACATTTTAACTGGAACCCAAGTGCCCCATCACAACTTGTGCCTTTTATACTTGGCAAGTTGCATACCTACAGACTGTTCAAATTTTTGGTAACATTTGAAATCACCATGCCTTTCATCTCTTGAAAGAAAGTTTCTAATGAGGTCAAGTAAGGCAGGCTAACAAAACCTGTAACTTTAGACTAAAATGTGATCGCTGCAGAGGTAAAGGAAGCAGAACATGTACATTTGCAACAGTTCACACAAGAGGCTTCTTTTTGTACTGCAACCTACTAACCTGCAGTTTTTGCACTCAAGGCCTACAGCAGTTTGGACTTACTCAAAATGGCTATCCCTGGTGATTGATCCTTTGGGTCCAACTCCCACCTCATAAGAGGAGGCCATGTGGTTCTCATAGACTACATGGCCATCATCATTCTGCTAAAATGGAAATACACTACAGTTCAAGTCCCAATTCATAAAATTGCCCACATAATCAGGTGGCACAGATTGCAACTAAAGATTCTTTTAATTTCTTTCCTTGTTATGACTTTGTTTACCTTTAGTGTAGTTCCACATGCTACCACAGGGAACTGAAAGATGACAAAGGCAGAGCTGCCATCAACTGGTTGACAAACATCATTGTTTGATTCAAGCAAGCTAATGGAGCTAACATCCAGTGGTGGCAGAGTGGCCTCTCTGGCCACAACCACCACAAACTGTCCATCCCTGGTACACTGTACAGTCACTGGGTTTAAAAAAAAAAAAAAAAAAAGTTTAGTTGAGAAATAAAGTTGGCAGAATGTTACAAAGTAGAACTTTTGAGCTATACATACCTGCTTTACCATAGTAACATTGACGCCCATCAAAACAGCAGTTAATCTCTTGACACTGATCAACAGTGATATCTGGAGACCCACACTGGATTTTCTCAATCTCTCCCAGGTCACATTTATCAAAGGGAGCTGCAGGTGGAGGGACCTTCAACTCCTGCTGGGGCTTCTGGAAAGAAGACAAGAGTTGTTGTTGTTGTTGTTTCTGTGGCACCAGTGGCTCCCTCCAGTACTTCTGGGCAGAAATGCTGCAAATCAAAACAACACCAAACAGACACTTAAAAAGAGCCATCTTGGTGTTATCAACTGCACTCTAACCAAAACTGCAGATGTAAAGCAGTGCTGTGTCACGGCTTTTATTCACAGCTGATTGTGGAGCAGTTTTGCTTAGAACTCCGCCTCTCATCAGTAATCAGTTAAGGAACAGGCCTGCAGAGTTAATTGGCTGGGATGGGACAGGTGGAACTTATTGTCTGGGAACTGGATTCATGGCTGATGAGTTAAAGCTTTGTGGATTTAATTACTTGTTTAAAGATGATTAGAGCAGTTCAACTTTATGTTGAGAGATCTTTTTTTTGTGCCATGAGGGGATAAAAATTAAAACAGTAGATAAGTTTAGATATGTTTAAGGGAGATTTATATTTGTATTTTTGTAAAGATAATTTGAATATAAGCAGAGACTTTTAGGTATGTCAATAATATATTGAAGACACATAATTTTCTAAAGACAGAAATAAAAAATGTAATTTATTACATATTAAAAATCATGTGGAAATAGAAACTTGTACTTCATATTTCCTAAGCAGCAGTCTGGCGAGACTTATTTAAATTGCCTTGTCACACAGCCCTAAAATTAAGATCCAGAGCAACTTAACTGTCCGGTAATCTTGTCTGTAGCATTATTAGGCCTGCCAGCTGACTTTGATGGATAAGGCTGAAACAAAATGCATTTAAAAGAAAGCCTGAAACTTATGCTTTTGGAATGTATTGAATCAATTTTTTTTAAGATTACTTTTATAGTTATTACATTTAGAAAAAAGAATATAATCTTGAACATATTATTTATTATTCTTATTAAATGTATGTATTAAAGGTATGTATTTATGATTCAATCATGTATTCAATCATGTATTCAATTCAATCGTACTCAATCATGATTACTGAACAAAATATATGCAGCCGTCAGTAACCACATCCAGTCACCGTGGACTGAAATACTGACTGCTCATAGCTGCTAGATGTTGGTCAACTCTGCAACACAGATGTGAAGCAATACTCTGACCTGATGTTTTAAAGCTTAATTTTCAAGTTTTGTTTTTGTTGTTATTGTTTTTTTTTAGATATTAGAGTCAATTTTTGAGTTTGTAGAGATAAATGCAGTCATTTTTTCTTTTTTTTTAACAGCCTTTTCGTCATCTTTTTTACTCTCTGCAGAAAGATACTTAAAAAAACTTTTTCATCATTTCTTTAATCAGAACAGAATTTGCAGTGTTCCCACTGTATTGTTGGTTTTTGGAACAAAAAGCATTTTACAAATATGTTTTTTATTAAATGCATTCTTTTACTGATATTTTGATCAAAACATTTTAATACATTGATTTAACAACTTACTGGTGATATCTGTTATCTAACTTTTTCCTAGTTTTACTATATAACCTAAATTTGGGTTTATATTTCACAGTGTTTATATAAGCCTGTTGTCCTGTGAGATGTCAGTTTTTAAATACAAACCCTGCTTAGTCATTCTGCCTCCCACCTGTATTACCTGCACTAAGGTGTTCTTTTGTTCTGCCTCATATTTGCACAGATGTATGGCCGCTACACTCAGGAGCTGGGTGTGTATGCCAAGGAGGAGGCGGCCCGCCTGCGGGATGGGGGGATGCGGGATGGCAGTGGACTGAGGAGGAACACCAGCGTTCGAAGCCGCGCCGCAGACCTGCCGGAGTATGAGAAACATCGGTGTGCAAAGTGCCAACGTAAGTGATGAGCATTCATGAAGCCCTAAACATCATCTTTCACACCAGTGTGGAAACCTCTCCTGAAGATCAGACTAGCAGAGAGCTGGCTGGGCAGTGTGCTTGTGCTATTATGTAGCAGGTTGCACCACTCTGGTAAACATGCAGCAGTGTGCAAACACAGGCTCCTTGAAGTTACAGCGAAGCATCTACCTGCCACTATGGAGCAGAAGAGATTGTGAGCTAGATTAAAAGTGACTGATCATGGCATCAACCTGCAGCTAAAAACAGTTGCCTCAATGTGGGCACCCTCTGCTGGCTGCCAGGGGCCTGCAGTGTTTGGTAATACTTGTATATGTGTGTGTGAAGTGGGAGATGTTTGCTAATATGTGTGTAAGGGTGTTACTGTTTTAGAGTTTCGGTTTCTAACCTTTGGAGTGAGGACATTTTTAGAAAGGGAGGACATTTTGGCCGGTCACAAGCTATTTTGCTAACGGTTAGTTAGGTCTAAGGTGTCTATTGGGTTGGGGTTGTTTTTAGGGTTAGGGGATGGAAAAGGTTTAAAATTACTGCAAATAAATGGAAGTTAACAGGAATCAACATGTGGTTCTCACTACATGTGGCAAAACAAGAGTGTGTGTGTGGGTGTGTGTACAGTATGTGTTTTACTTGTCTTAGTAGAACTCTGATCTAAGCTGTCAGTTTATTTTAATGTCCCATGTTCCCAGCTGAAGGTAGATAAGGGAGTGGTCCTACAGAGCTCCATTTCAGATGGATGGATTCAACAGTAATAGAGTGACAGGCAGCAGGAGGCTAAACAGCTTTTTTTTTTCTAAAAAAAAATCCCCTATAGATTATAGATATGTTGTTGGCTCCAAAAATACGAAATCTTCTTATTTGCATCTTATTAGGCTACATATCTAGTTATCTTGATCACATGATACCGCAGTTTACCATCTGAGTAAATGTATTTGTAGATAATTTATCTAAAAGTATTTGTAAATGATTTGTGACCCAAACCTTAAATTGTGACTTTTCTAATCAGACAGGATTAAATTGATTGTTAATGCAAAACAGGTTTCTTTTTCTTTTTTTGTTCTGTAATACTGTGTCTTCAATTGTCCCTTTTTTGTCTGTGAAAAATATTCTATATGAGAGAAGAATTTCAAATACCAGGGTCCTATGAGATTTACAAGGTTACAGCCACTGCATACTAAACTAAGAAAGCGGATAGACTATCTGACTTTCTTGTCTGTTTGAAAAGGATTGATGTGGATATATATCGAGTTTCAGATACATGTGGCAAAAAATCAGTATGCATTGTAAAAAGGTGCTTTCTACAGCACTTTGGAACCTATAATTACTGTTTTTTTAATGTTGATTTTTATTTGATTCACAAATAGCTTAATCAAATTTGTATTAAAAGTTTTTGGACCAACAAAAATAAAAGGAAATTTATGATTTTTGTACATTTATCCACAACATTACAACTTTTTGCTTTTAATTATTTACTGCTAGTTTAAAGCTTCTTTCCAGTTTTCCACCAGCAGTCCAAAGCATGAATATGAGGGGAGTTTGTACTTTGCCTCTCAAATGTGTGTTTGCGAGTGTTTCTGTTACCCTGTAATAGATCAGGTGAACTGGCCAGGGGAAATGGCACCTATTGCTTACTGAATGATAGAGATAATCCCACAAGTCCTGTAATAAAAGTTAATTTATGGGTTTTTTTAGGTTAGTATTAAAGGTTTATTTTTATTTTTTGAGGGGTTCATTAAGCCAAAATTATTTCTTTGTATTATTTTCTTAAAGCGTTGAAACGGTGTTTTTATATCATATCGAATACATATAAAAAAGATTTTCCATCTCATATTTTGATAATGGAAATATATATCTATATAGGCATTACATTTTTCTGTCCAAATTAAATCATCCATGTCTTAGAAACTACAGAGATTTTCTTTATCACATAAAAGAAGATCACTTCAGAACATTAACATGAAGGAACACATGAACACATAGTTTCTACCTTTATTTGAATTAAAATCATTAATAAAACATACTTGACTTACTAGTCCATTTTGGTTTAAATCAGCATTCAGCATATATAAAAGGCCTTTCTTGATCCTAAATCTGCTATAACACAAATGTGTTTCTTCCTTTATACTATCTGTAAATTTGTTTGTTCTTAATGTATAATTCTCTAATCATTGTCTTATTTCTGAACATCTTAGAATATGATGCATCATGGAAAAGGCTGTTATTGTCTGCTACAGACAAAAAAAGTGTGAGTTTTTATTTATAAGCTTTTAAAAATGGGAAATAACTTTAACAGTTTATCCTGACGATCACCTACCAAACTCGATTGAGGTAAAATTGTCAGATTTTGTCCCCTGGCTAATTGAAGTGTGCAGCACTTTGTTTCTTACACCGACTTTTTCTCTGCTACCCAATTAGGCATCCAAACTTCAGCTCAGGGAAGGTTTGTTGGGTTTAAAGTTAGTGAGGCTTACTGAAACTATTCAAGTATAAAAAAGGTTTTTATGACTAAAGCAGCTTCACTTCTCTCCAAGATCGATTTCTTCTCCTATCCCCTGTGACGGTAGTGGTCTGATTAAAGTGTGATTGATTGTACCATGGGTGAAAGCTACCGTATATCAAGCCAACCTTTCTCGTTCTCTGGAAAGCAGACCACTTTAAAACATTCACTCCTAGATCAGCAACTAGTGATTAGTGTGCGCTCTTAGTCTGCAGTGTGTACCCATAGATCAAGTGGTGTTTGTATTTTTAGATCCATCTTCAGAGATGCTGCCCAGCCGCTGTGTTCTTAGGTAATGCACACAGAGAGGCTTCTCTCAGGTTTAGTAGAAGTGGGTGTTTCAGTGTTCTCCTCTCATACATCTGTGTGGGAGTGGTATCACTGTGGGTGATGGACTTCAAGTGTGAGAGCCTCATTTCAGCTCACCGGCTGCATCTTCTGAACAAGGCTGCCTACACTCACAGCCAAAGGCTCCACTGCCTGTAAGAGTGGAGAGCCAAAACCACATACCTCACTGAGTTTATTTTGACTCACAAAGGGGAATTTTGGAGTTATTTATGGCTGATGTGACTCAAACCTGAAGATTTTGTTCTAAGTGCACACATTTATTCTTTCACTGTATATCTAGTGCCTTTATACGTGAACAAAGGCTGTACGATCGTACATAAAACCAAGATTTTTTAGTGTTAGTCTTTATTATTCCACATTTAGTATATGTTAATGCAGTTCAGGGCCAAGAGAGAAAAACATTTTGTCTGTCTTTCCAATAGATCTTTATTAGGATTAGAAGAGATCTGTGAATGCAACAAGTCTGTAGGGTGTGGATATAAGAGCAAGCCAACATGAAAATGAAAGCCAGAGGCTTTGCAGGTGCCAGACACAGAGTTTCTGTGAAAAACTGTACTTATAAGGGCTAGAGGGAAGAGTTTTGGAAAAAACGAGGGTGTTTTTCCTATTTAGTTTTTTAAGTATAACTCCCTTATATGCATTAGCTTCAAATTGAATACAAGGTTGTTTAAGGTTGTGTTAAGTGTTTCATATAATTTTTAGGGTTTTGATTTAAAGCATTATTTCTGTAACTATAATAATAAAATATATATTAATTCCCTCCACAGTCAATTTTAGCCACATTGAGCAATTTTTACAAATGTTTTTACCTACAAGCTTGGCGTCTTATTTGTATTTTTGCTGCTCTCACTGCTTATGAATATTTGCATGTTTAGACTGCATGCGCATTTTCTGTTGGCAGCTGTCCATTCAGCAGGTGGCCTGACTAGTGGGCAACTTGGCTTATCAAACACACAGTTGTGTCTTTCTTCCCAAAGAGTTTTAATAACTTCTTATGTTCTGACTGCTGAGTGCACCAAAAAGAGATGCAAAGCTTCTTTTTTTTTTTTATATCCCTCAGACACTTTAGGTATTTTTTTTATTTGAAAATGACTTGCTGCAGCAAAAATGCATATATTGAAATAATCAAAATTGTTTTCAGGAGAGTGTAATTTTATAACAAAGAAAAGCAGGGGTTAACATTTTTCGCCCAGTTTGCTATGTCCATTATGAAACCTTAAAGGGATTTTATGTGACGGACCAAGACAAAGTTACGTTTCCACGTACTGAGCCTTTTTGTTTTCGTCAACGATGATGAAATAATTTCGTTTACACTCCTTTTTTTCATGACGATAACGAAAACTGAGGAGCTAAATATGGAACTTTGATTACTAAAACATGACTAGTCATAGGTTTGAGTTTTCGTCAACGAGACTAAACTAAATAAAAATTAGCGGGTGGTGGTCAGTCGTTTAAACTGCATCATCGTGCTGGAATCTGCTAAGCAGTATCAGCCGTTCTGCTGCGTCTTGTTTGGTAACACAGCCCACCTGGCATGCAGTGCTGCATATTCTGCATGAGCACAGCACAATAATGTTCTTCCAGCTGTGCTTGTGGAGAAATACGTATTTGCATGCGGTTAGCTCTGAGGCTGTGCTTTATGCGGGGTGCATAATGCGCAGCTCCACACTGATGGTTCGCTCTCAGCAGTTTGGTTCTTCCTGTCCTCACTACTAATAAACTATGTGATTGGTCATCCTTCTTCAAGCATAAAAAAATCCCTTTGTCTAACTATCAAGATTTTATTTCTTCCAGCTCACAAGACGTGATGCTAAACATTCTTTCATTTCTGCCAAAAGGAATCCCTAAATTATATCCAAAGAAAATATTTCATTGCATACTGTTTATTTTTGGATAATGACCCAGGTACATAGATGTTTGAATATTTCTCTCTTATTGTTCTCATTTCTATCTATTTAAATATGATGTAAATGTTTCCTTGTATTGCCATTAAAACATTTTCTATGTTTCCTTTGAATATGTCAACATTTTAGTTAGCATATTCATTCAATTTAAGTCTGGACTGCCATGTCATTACAAGACAATTAGGCAGGTTCTCTCTGTATTTTTTTGTTGCTGTATCAAAACCCTGTGAATT